TCGTTCATCCGGTCACGTTTCGCCTTCTTAGAAAAGCGGTATTTCAAATTCAACACCACACTCGCTCAGTTTCTGGAGAATTTTTTTACCGAACGTGTACTTTCTCAAATCCGATGCATGTTTCACAACATGATCCACGACATGCGTGAACCATGATTGTTGGCCAGGTCTTCGATCCGCAAGTACATCCATCGACACATTGATCAGTGTTTGCACAACATAATTACCATACTGATTGAAAAGCATCACATCGAGCGCATCACGTCCCCTACTGAAACCCAGAAAAAAAGCATCATTTAGTGCTCAGGCTGTTGATTTCGAGCACCTGAGATAAGTTCCAGCTGGTATATATATACCAAGATCGCCTGGGCTATCATTGTGGGTGTCCCATGTTAGTGATATTACTGAAAAAGTATTCCCACATACCGGGTACAGCTATGTCAAGACCCACTGAATACCTCCAAATTAATATCCACCATCTATTCGATGTATGTGCGTCACATCTTCAAGGAATCACCCCGAGTGGTCGTTTACTTTCTCGCCGGCACCATTCACTAATGCGCTACGTCCATCGTTTATCAACAAGATTAGCAACATGCTTTGCCCATCGGATTTTATTTTCTCGCCTGGTAGTAATGATATCCTGCATATCACTTATCTGACCGAAAGTCCTATTGCTTATGTAGAAAAATGTCAAGCATACTTCGCTCCATCACTTTCTCCGTCACAGCCAGAGTTTACACTTCAACTTTCTTCAGTGACTACGCTACGCATCCGTATCTCATTGTCCTACTGTATGCAAGTGAATAAAAATAAAGTGAGTAGTTAGGGATATTTCAGTTCATTAATTCGCATACCATCAACCAGAAAGAGCCCTATGCGCCGACTTAGCTATACAAATGCGCCATCAGCATGACCCTCGTTATATGTTTTTGCATATATGCAAATGCGAGAACGCATGTTGCGACGATCCCGGTGTATGTGTGCGTGTGTGCGTCCGGATATTTCAACCCGGCATCCAAGCTAGCTCCGGCGCCAAAATTTTACAAGTGGGCTCCCCGGCCAAGTGCCACCCCAGGGCCGCGATACCAACCTTCACGCAAGTCTGGGCCCCACGTATGAGAAAGTGAAAGTTTTAGCAGAAAAACTGCTAACTCAGGAACTAGAAAGGCTAGAAGGCTGAAATTTTGAGGTTGTGTTCCCTATGAAGACAGAACTCAAAAATTTTAAATTCAGTCTCGAGGTGTGTACGCTTCCCGCGTACGGCCCCATGAGGGTTCCTGGCGGGAAAATCGCTAATTCCGGAACCAGGAAAGCTGGGGGGCTGAAATTTTTAGCGAATGTCCAAGTACAGCGTAGACAACTAGCTTCCCGAAATTCGAGGACCAATATGTCACACAGTTCTAGCTGTTGGGATTCCGAGGATCTCAATACAGCATGAAACACTGCAGAAACGCACAATCGCACGAGCCCGCCCGGTGTGCGTCGCCATTAATTTTAATCTTCCTCTTCTCTCTCTCCCACTTGTCATTCACTACGTTTCACATCCGTACGTCAAAATGCTCCACCATCAGCTTGCTTCTAAGCAACCCTCGAAAGTGGGAGCCGTCAACGGTTTTGTCTCAGGGGTTTCTGCTATTGGCATTTGTTACCACTCAAGCTACTTTTAGGTGATTTCACATTTCACATAGAGCGAATACAAAAGGGATTTTGAATTTCGACGTCGCGGCTGTCAACATAGTCAAAGTTATGTTGGCACAATTCAAA